GATAACTTGCAGAAGTGCCTCTGGGCTGTAAGTTACACAACAGAGGAGTACACAACAGGAGGAAATCAGAGAAGCTGATTTCTATTGCCAAGCTGGCTACATTAGTTGATTTTCAAAAGGCTGTGAACCCGACTTAGCTTGTATGAAATTGATCTAAGTGTAGATGTCTTTGCTAATAAAGAGGCTGGGAAGGACCCCCTGCCTTCTCACACAGAGGGGGATGGCCCGAGACACCCCCTGCCCTGTAGCTGTTGTGCAGAGGTAGGGGACCAAAAAGATGACGAGGGTTGGAACCCTACCCCCTTCCTGCCCTGCTTCCCCAGGTGTGCCTCTGTAATAGGTTTGAGGCCCTGGATCTTGAAGGAGAAGTAGGTGAGGATGTGGTGCAAGGCCAGCCTACAAGGCCACATAGGAAAAGGTGGTCGACTTTGCACCTCAAGACTGCCTCTGATAAGAAAGAAAGAAGGGTCATTGTAGTAGGGGATTTCCTTCTGAGAGGAACAGAAGGCCCGATATGCAGAGTTGACCCTCATCATAGGGAAGTGTGTAGTCTGCCTGGAGCCCAGATCAGGGATATCACTAGGGCGCTCCCCAACCTGGTGCACCCGACAGACTACTACCCGCTGCTGGTCTTCCAGACAGGTGAGGGGGAAGCTGCTTCCCACAGTCTGAGGGGGATGAAGAAAGACTACAGGGCCCTGGGGCGGATGGTGAAAGAGTCTGGGGCTCAAGTGATCTTCTCCTCACTCCTTCCATCTTCCACTGATGATGTGGGACGGAATGGGAAAATTCAGTCCATAAACGACTGGCTTCGAGACTGGTGCTGCAGGCAGGGCTTTGGATTCTTTGATAACGGCTGGTTTTATAGGGCACCATTCTGGACAATGACAAGTGGGAAAGGTTTATCTCACAGAGGCAAAAGGATGCTGGGGCACGAATTAGCAGGGCTCATTTGGAGAGCTTTAAACTAGATTTGAAGGGGGATGGGGTTGTAGCTGGGCTTGCCCCAGTGGGGCAGCACTCCAGAACTGATGAAGACTGGGAGGCCTCCTATAATCCTAGGGTGAAATCGGTGTGCTCAGCTCGCTCCCTGGAATGTCTGTACACCAATGCACGCAGCATGGGAAATAAGCAGGAGGAGTTGGAAACCTGTGTTAAGTCAGGAGACTATGATCTGGTGGCAATTACAGAGACGTGGTGGGACAGCTCACATGACTGGAATATAGTCATGGAGGGCTATGTCCTTTTCAGGAAAGACAGGCCAGCCAGGAGGGGTGGTGGGGTTGCTCTGTGTACGGGAGCAACTTCAATGCACCGAGTTCTGTCCAGGGGCAGATGACGAGCGAGTTGAGAGTCTGCGGGTCAGAATTAAGGGGCAGGCTGGCAGGGGCGATACTGTTGTGGGTGTCTGTTACAGACCACCGGATCAGGGTGAGGAAGTTGACGAGGCCTTCTACAGGCAGCTGAGAGCGGCCTCACAGTCACAGGCCGTGGTCGTCGTGGGGGATTTTAACTTCCCTGATGTTTGCTGGAAGGACCACTCGGCAACCCAGCCGCAGTCCAGGAGGTTCCTCCAGTGTATGGATGATAACTTCTTCATGCAAATGGTGGATGGAGCCAACCAGGAGAGGCGCACTGCTGGATCTCATCCTCACTAACAAGGAGGGTCTGGTCGAAGCACTAAGGGTTGAGGGCTGCCTTGGTTGCAGCGACCACGAGATGGTGGAATTCAGGATCTTGTGCGGTAGGACCAGTAGAATAGCAAGTAGAATTGCAACCCTGGACTTTAGCAGGGCAAACTTTGGCCTTTTCAAGCAATTGCTAGGGGAAATCCCATGGGCAAGGCTGTTTGAAGGTAAAGGGGCCCAAGATGGTTGGCATTCAAGGATTGCTTTTTCCGAGCTCAAGATCGGAGCATCCCGACACGTAGGAAGTCAAGGAAGAGGGCCAGGAGACCTGCGTGGCTAAATAGGGAATTGCTGGGTATGCTCAAGTGGAAGAGGAGAGTTTACAGGTCATGGAAGGAAGGAGGGGCTGGCCACTTGGGAGGAATATAAGGCTGCTGCTAGAGGATGTAGGAAGGCAGCTAGGATGACTAAGGCCTCCTTAGAATTAAACCTGTCAAGAAGGGTCAAGGACAGCAAAAAGAGCTTTTTCAAATACATGGCAGATAAAACTAACACCAGAGGCAATGTAGGCCCACTGATGAACGGGATGGGTGCCCTGGTGACAGAAGATACAGAGATGGCAGAGTTACTGAATGCCTTCTTTGTCTCTGTCTACTCTGCTGCAGGCAGTCCTGAAGAGCCCTGTACCCCTGAGACCTTAGATGAAGTCAGGTCGACGGAGCGGTTTGCCTTAGTCGATGAGGAATGGGTTAGAGACCAGTTGAGCAATCTGGACATCCATAAATCCATGGGTCCAGATGGGATGCACCCGCGGGTGCTGAGGGAACTGGCGGAAGTCATTGCTAGACCACTCTCCATCATCTTTACCAAGTCTTGGGAAACGGGAGAGGTGCCTGAGGACTGGAGGAAAGCAAATGTCACTCCAGTCTTCAAAAAGGGCAAGAAGGAGGACGCGGGTAACTATAGACCGGTCAGCCTCACCTGCATCCCTGGGAAAGTGATGGAACACCTTATCCTTGGTGCCATCTTAAGGCATATCAAGGATAAGAGGGTTATGAGGGGCAGTCAACATGGCTTCACCAAGGGGAAATCATGCTTGACCAATCTCTTAGCCTTTTATGAGGAAATAACACGGTGGATGGATGATGGCAGAGCGGTGGATGTGGTCTACCTTGACTTCAGCAAAGCATTTGACACAGTCTCCCACAGCATCCTCACAGCTAAATTGAGGAAGTGTGGTTTGGATGATCAGGTAGTGAGGTGGACTGTGAACTGCCTGAAGGAGAGAAGCCAGAGAGCTGTAGTCTATGGGGCTGAGTCTAGTTGGAGGCCTGTAACTAGTGGAGTGCCTCAAGGGTCAGTACTGGGACCAGTATTATTTAATATATTCATCAACGATTTAGATGAGGGAATTGAGTGTACTATCAGCAAGTTTGCTGATGACATTAAGCTGGGAGGAGTGGCTGACACGCCAGAAGGCTGTGCTGCCATCCAACGAGACCTGGACAGGCTGGAGAGTTGGGCAGGGAATAACTTGATGAAATGTAACAAGGGAAAGTGTAGAGTCCTGCATCTGGGCAGGAACAGCCCCAGGTTCCAGTATAGGTTGGGGAACGACCTGTTAGAGAGCAGTGTAGGGGAGAGGGACCTGGGGGTCCTAGTGGATGACAGGATGCCCATGAGCCGACACTGTGGCCTTGTGGCCAAGAAGGCCAATGGCATCCTGGGGTGTATTAGAAGGGGGGTGGTTAGTAGGTCGAGAGAGGTCCTCCTTCCCCTCTACTCTGCCCTGGTGAGACCGCACCTGGAATATTGTGTCCAGTTCTGGGCCCCTCAGTTCAAGAAGGACAGGGACCTGCTGGAGAGAGTCCAGCGCAGGGCAACTAAGATGATGAAGGGAGTGGAGCATCTCCCTTATGAGGAAAGACTGAGGGAGCTGGGTCTCTATAGTTTAGAGAAGAGGAGACTGAGGGGTGACCTTATAAGTGTCTATAAATTTATAAAGGGGGAGTGTCACGAGGACGGAGCCAGGCTCTACTCAGTGGCAAACAATGATAGAACAAGGAGTAATGGGCACAAACTAGAACACAAGAGGGTTCACTCAAACTTGAGAAGAAACTTCTTCTCAGTGAGGGTGACAGAACACTGGAACAGGCTGCCCAGGGAGGTTGTGGAGTCTCCTTCCCTGGAGACATTCAAAACTCGCCTGGACACATTCCTGTGTAACCTTATCTAGGTGTTCCTGCTCCAGCAGGGGGATTGGACTAGATGATCTTTCGAGGTCCCTTCCAATCTCTAGCATACTGTGTAACTGTGTAACTGTGTGTGTTAAAGGCAGAGGAATAACTGTGCAGCTCCAGCCTGGACAGGGTCAAGGAAGCTTTGTCTTTGCTATGGACTCACTGTGAACTTGGCAGTCCTTTGAGCTACACAGCTTGCATGTTCACCTGCAGACAAGGGCTGTGTGTTTCCCTCCTCCCTGGAAACAGTATCCTTAGCCTGAGCTTCTGTGATAGTACTAGGAGACTTCTTGCTCTGGACAGAACAGAAGGTGTAACTGACTGTTTTGGTTCCAGCATGCAGTGGTCTAGCACCACATTCCTCTGGAGAGCCACGCATGGGGAGGCTCCTCTGAAGTCACCAGTGGTTTGCCAAGTGGTCAGGAATGGAGGTGTGGTGAGAGGGGCTTGCTCTTACTTTAAACTCACTCTCTGGGCTGACGAGGCAGGAAGCCCCAGGTTCAGAGGAAGACATGTGGAACAAGGGCAGTCATACTTCAAAGGCCACCAGCTGGCCCCTGTTTACCCCTCTTCGATTTATCTTGCCTGCTTCCTCCAGGGGCATTGGAATTCAGAGCAAGAAAGTGTGGCATTTGCTGGCTGTCTTGGGAAGACTGATGAGGCTGTCCCACAGTGTTATGCGCCTGCAAGCTGCACCTTGCTGCAGGTTGTGGTCCATGGGATTTCTGGGGTAGAAACCAAGAGTAAGCAGGAAGAAAGGATGCTGCTGCTCAGCCCATCTGAAGAAACATGGTCCTGAAGATCTGGGAGTTGGTGAGAAAGGAGCTGCTGTGACAATGGACAACAGTGACACAGGTGGAGGAAGGGAAAATTCTCTCCGTAGAAACTCAGCACTGGAGGTTCAGGGAAGCACGAGGTCTGAAAGACCAGACACCAGCTTTTGTTTACAAAGAAGTTCCTTGGGTTAGGGCCTCCTTTCTCAAGGCCAAAACAGATGAGCGTTCCCATTAGATGGGGGTTGAGATACAGTATTGCCAGGCAGAAGAAGAGCCAAGCTGTGATTGCTGCAACCCACCAAATAAAAACAAAAAAGAGAGAGGAAAAAAACAGGAAAGAACAACAAATTGCAGACAAACATAAATGTGAACAGTGTAATACAGGTTGTCACCAAATGCATTCTGCTGACACTTCACCTCCCATAGTAGCATTTACTGAAAGTCTAAGTCCTCTGGTCAGCAGCTAGCTTTTGAGCTCAAAGCTCAAAACACAGCCCAGTTCCTGGAAATAACAGTGTTGGGAGTGAAAGGAGCTGATAGGTCATAGAGCAATGGTGCTCTAGTGCATCTTCCATACCTTCGCCTCTGGCCAGCTCCTGCTCTTGACTTGCTCCTGGCTGACGCTAGAAGTGCTGATTTCTGGGGAAACAGGCTCATAGGAACGGAGGGACAAGCTTGCAGCAAGTAGACCCATCCGGACACAGGTATCTGTGTCATGTTTAGCAAGGATCCCTGCGAGGATCCCTGCCATTAAGCTATGGAGAGAAAGAAGGGTGGTTTTGAACACAAGGGGAACAGCTTTGATTTTGGGAACATAGGCATTCGTTTGTAAGAGCATTCATGTGTACTCAAACCAACACTTACAGAATATGTAACACAGCAGAATATGTCACATAGGAGGGGTGAGTTTGTAATGTAAAGGTTTTTCTTTTTTATAGTTATTTTTCAATTTGGAGTAACAAATAGTGCTATTTATTCCCATTTTATTTGTTTCTCATCTGAGAAGTTGAGGTACTTTCCCATTCCACCACATTTTCTATTATTTTCCCCAGTTTTCCAGATGAGACAGGAGAAAAGAGTCAAAGAAAGGAAAAGTCTAATCTTCCTTTGCTCTCTAATTACTTTGTCACTTCTCTGCTCCTTGTTGGTGCCATATTACGTCCCCTCCTGTCCCCAACAGAGTGGATTGGAAGGGCAGTAAAGTTTCCATATGATTGTGAGACAGACAAGAGACACAGCTGGAAAAAGAAATCCAAGGCTGAAATGTGGTTGTAGATTCACATGTTTGTAAACTTTCACTGTGGTTTTCTATTCCCATTAAAAATTATGTGAGTGCTTGGAACAAAAGCGGTCATCCACAGGTCCTCACAAGGCACAGTGGAGGCCATTGAGAGGAGGGGATGACTTTGCCATCTGCCTGGCTGAAGGGAAAGGCTCTGTTGAGGCATGGATACAAGCAGGGTGGTGTTTGTTATCAACTGGGAGCAACTACTCTTTATTCATAGCTAAATACAATAATGATGCTTGGAAACTAGGAGAAGACAAAGACATGAAGGAGAAGGGAGAAGATAATGACATTTGAGAGGAAAAAGCAAGGACAGGAAAATATGACACCATGGAGGAGAAAATCTATGGGGAAGGGAAAAATATCACTCTTTTTTGTGCTCTAATTACCTCAACATTCTTTTATCCATAACAAAGGCGCAGAAAATTATGACTTCCATAAGTCATTCAATCTCTCAACAGCCCCAGAAGCTGAGAGTAAATATTTGTGGGAGCATCCCCTAGCAATGCCATGTGCAGGCATGAGGTGTTATGTTGTCATGGCAGCCAGGAACAAGGAGCAAACAGCCGCTTGTGCCTGTATACACACATGGATCCTTGGGCAGCATCTCTGGAGCTGTTAGAGAGCCGCAAGGTAGAAGTGAGGCATAGGGTGTCCTGGATCACTGCTTCTGGGTGTGCAGTGTCCCCCGACTTCAGAAGTACAAGGGTACATGGGGGCTGAGCTATGAATGTGTTACAGCCCTGGGTTTTGACCTGCTGGTAAGCCCTTTGAAGTGCTAACAGGCTGCGCTTGGGGGACTTCACCACTTACATATGTCAATGTGGTGTCCTGGCATTTCCAGCCAGGATTACCAGGAAGGAAAACCCTGGACAAATGAGAGGACTACAGATATTTCTACATAAACCTGGGGGCTCTGGCGAATGTGATTTGCAGACCAATATTACTTCAGGAATGGGAGCAGTAATGGGCCCCTAGCTTCCAGATAGCTTTGGAAGAAAAACCAAAGTTAAGGACATTCAAGATGTGATTCTGGGCAATCTGATCTAGTTGAAGATGTCCGTGCTTATTGCAGGGAGGTTGGGCAGATGATCTTTGAAGGCCCTTTCCAACCCGAACTAGTCTATGATTCTATGACACTCCAGTGTAACTCAGTGGAGGTGTCTGGCAGTGATGCACCTTATCTCATCTTTGTCCTTTCCTTAAGTTAAGCCTTTAAAAGGAAAGGAAACCCTAAAGAAGATGTTTAGTGTACATTAGCCTCCAGAAAAGATTGACTGTGGTCAGGGGTAGTTGTGGACCAAACAGATGATGCAAAGAGAAGGCTGTGTCCCTGGAGGGGCTGGCAGAGGGTGGGCACATCTCCTAGAAGTAGTGAGGAAAGCTGAGCCATCCTTAGGACAGGCTCAGGGACCCATGAGGTTCCTCCCAGCCCCCATTCCTTTGCCATTACACTTACTGCTTCAAACAACACTTAGGTCTTCTTTGGAGAAGACCAGCTTGCAGTTGCAGTCAACTCAGAGGAGACCTGGGACACGAGGAATGTGTCCTGGTGTTACCTAGCGTGGCAAGAAGGTACTGATTGAGCCTAACTCAAATACTGAGGATGCTGTAAGTTTAAAAGAAAAAAGACTTTTCATGCTGCCCACTCACAAAAGACAAAAAGAACTGTTGCTATGCTGAGATAGTGGTAGGTAAGAGTAGAAAAATAAAAGGAAATATCTGTCACATACAGCCTTTTGGTCTAGCCCAAGGCAATGGAAGGACAGAATAAATTATTGTAGTGTACAAGGCAAGAAGAAAAACCTGACTACTACATACAGTTTGACAAGTTAACAAGGAGCATAATAAATTATTACTCTGACAGATTGAGAACTGATCAGTGGGGCTAAGAATAATACCTGTCATTTCCTACTCCTGTGTACAGTGTTGTGTGAACAGCTAGGCGTATTACGCAGCAGACTCTTTTGAAGCATGCGCTATTGCCAGAGGCAAGTGCAGAACCTGGTGAAATGCTCTTATAGGGTGATTTTAGCTGCTGAGTGGCAGTACCACTTCCATTGGAGAAGTGTGGAAGTAAAGTAGTTAGTTAGAAAGACAGCTTTGATGTAAGGTGGTTTACTTTGCTTTCAGCAGCTCAGCCCAGGCTAACTCAGGACTACTAGATTGCCATGAAAAGCTTGGATCTTAAAGAAAAACAAAAGTAAGAATGGCAAGACTGGCTTCCAAGATGCTCAGGGAGACATTTTTAGCAAGCTTTGCAAGTAATCATGGTAACCAGGCCTTTTCTTGTGTCCTTAAGTGTCCTTAAGTCCTCCTGTCTTGTGTCCTTAAGTCCTCCTCAAGCAGCAGAATATCATTCACCTTTGCAGTAGAATTTCAAAGAAATCCAATTTATGGCCCTCCTACATTTAGCTGGAGAAGACAAAGTAGTGAGCAATATACCTGTCACCGGCTCCCGAGACGTTGACTATCTCCTCCCTGCTGATGTGGACAGCTGGGTAGTGGGTGGCACAGAGGCTAGCAGCAGCAGCCTGTGCCAAGAGAGAAGGGAGAGAAGGGAAGTTAGTGGGAATTGCCCAAATTGGTATGGCCTCATGTGGCTTATGCCATCCAGACCTGCTCAGATGCCAAAAAGAAAGAAGAAAAAGGCAATAATGTTTTTTCACACTTTGAAAGCTATCAGCAATTTTAAATAGAGCTTCCTGAAAGTGAAGCCTTCACTCATGAATATTCATGCAAGCACATTTAAAGCTAGCTGACTAGAAACACTGCTGCTAGAAACCAGCAGTTTATGGACAGACAACTTGATTTGCTTTCAGAGCTGTGTATTCCACCTACCAAACACATACGTTTCCCAGGACTGCTGCCATGCCACCAGAAATAGCAGCGATGCTTTATGGTCTGAGAAAGAAGCAACTGAGAGCTCAGAGTTAGTTTCCCATGCCTTTACCTGTTCATGAGGTCCTGGACAAAGTGATATGCTCCCTCCCAGCCTCTTGCCACACAGGAGGATGCCGAGAGCGCCGAGGGTTACCACCACACAGTGCAGATGCAACAGCAAAGGGCAGGCCAAGGCCACTGCAGTCTGGACAACATCCTCCAACCTGGTTGGCAGCTCTTGATACAGTGGGGAGAAAAGGCTGTGCTATAACTGTAAAGATCCTCAACTGGCCTTTTATGGGCTGGCAACCTATTTCTGAGGACCACTGCTACTATTTATGAGCACTTCTGATATGTGGTTAATTTTTCTTTAAATCATGGGAAACATGGAATTCTCCAACATTAGACTTCCATACCTCTATCCCACACCGAGGAAACCACCCCTCATGGGACTAAATATGTGTCTGTAGAGATCAAAAATCTGTCCTAAAGTATGACTTCATTGCCTTAACACCTGCATGTGGTGGGGCATTGCATTTCTGCAAAGGGTGATACTGAGATATTGCTCCAGTTTGGCTGATGAAGTGAGGCAAATAGGATCTCTGGTTTTGGACAAGAAGCCATCCCAGGCCTACTGTGCTCTCTGACAGATTATCAGTCTGGCCTGGGCCACACAACCCATGCAGAGATGACTTTAAGGAGGAAGATGGCAAGAGTGTTTAAGAATCCCCACTGTGTTATAACCCAGCTTGCTTGAAATAGGGACTGGAGCAGCAAATGTTCTTCTTCAGGATGCAGGTTAGAATCTTAGAATCATAGAATCATAGAATAGTTAGGGTTGGAAAGGACCTTAAGATCATCTAGTTCCAACCCCCCTGCCATGGGCAGGGACACCTCACACTAAACCATATCACCCAAGGCCTTGTCCAACCTGGTCTTGAACGCTGCCAGGAATGGAGCATTCACAACCTCCCTGGGCAACCTATTCCAGTGCCTCACCACCCTATCAGGAAAGAGTTCCCTCCTTATATCCAATCTAAACTTTCTCTGTTTAAGTTTAACCCGTTACCCTTTGTCCTATCACTACAGTCCCTAATGAAGAGTCCCTCCCCAGCATCCCTATAGGCCCCCTTCAGATACTGGAAGGCTGCTATGAGGTCTCCACGCAGCCTTCTCTTCCCCAGGCTGAACAGCCCCAACTTTCTCAGCCTGTCTTCATACGGAAGGTGCTCCAGCCCCCTGATCATCCTCGTGGCCCTTCTCTGGACTTGTTCCAGCAGTTCCATGTCCTTTTTATGTTGAGGACACCAGAACTGCACACAATACTCCAAGTGAGGTCTCACAAGAGCAGAGTAAAGGGGCAGGATCACCTCCTTCGACCTGCTGGTCACACTCCTTTTGACCCAGGATATGCTTGGCTTTCTGGGCTTTAAGTGCACACTTATCTAGAAGTGTGTGACTGTCTCTTCTGAGTATTCAATACCTGCTGGCAGAGGGTTCCCGAGGGTCCGATTTATTGCTCTTAGCTCTTGCAGGTTGGGGGAAATGTATGTGAGCGCTTTCCAGCTGTCTGAGAGGAACGGCTTAGAGGCCTTGTTCTCATCTGTTGGTTCATAGCACACTTCAAAACAACATTGCAATGGGTTAGTTCATGAATTAGTCATTAATCTCTATGTCAGAGCAGGATGCAGTGTATAAGGCTTAGCATGACCTGCACAATGTGAGGTATGCGTGTAATCTGTTAGAAACTTAAAATACTATCTCTCCCATGTTTGGGATAAGGCCTCCCAAGGCTTCCTTTCCAGTGCTCAGCAATGAGACAGTTGCTTCTGGCTCTGGAGTCATACAATCGAACTTCAGTTTTGTTTCTCCTTTTAGCTGGTTTTGGAGCCTCTGCCAGGTTTTAAGAACACTGTCTCCTTTGGGATTTGCTTTTAAAAATGAAGGCATGACTCCAAAGGTTTAGGAAGCTTTGTGAAAGGTCCCCAGCATACCGGGGGTGGTGATGGTGTGCATTTCATGGGAAGTGGGAGAGAAATCCTGTCAAAAGATGCTTTAGCACTTATGAGAAGCAAACTATATTGCTGCTCGAACTGGCAGAAGCACATACACTTGCACTTCCCTTGAGGTTAAAGGCAAAGAAAGCAGCTTTCCGTGGCTTTCTGGCAGTGCCCACAGGCTATAGCACCTACACCACAGGGAATGTGATTTAGCTGCAGAATGAGGCAAAGGTCAAGGAACGCAGACCTTTGTTCCATCCATTTGAAAAAGAGTAGCAGAGTACAGAAGGGAGTGCTGAATGACACGGCATGTCAGACAGTAACCAGGTATCTCCAGCAAGCAGCAGTGGAGAGCACTCAGGGTGTGCAGAGTGTCTTGGCACAAGGTTAGGAGCTACAGGGCCAGGGCTGGGCAAGTTCTCCTTACCTGCTATCTGGTGCTCTCTAGCTAGTTGGCAGACATACTGAATAGTGGAAAGAGGCACATTTCCATCGATGCACACTAGTGGGGCTTGGCACAGGTTCTCCTTGAACTGAGACACCTAGGAAAAATCCAGGACACAGAGCAGAGACAGCTTGAGTCATTGCAGAGGAACAAATGATTGCTAGTTAGAGTCAGGATGTAGGATTTTCACTCGTATTGCAGCCCTTAGGTGCAGGCATGAACCTAAAAGAGTGACTCCTTAAGGAAAATGGAGTCTTCAGGTGCAGGCATGAACCTAAAAGAGTGACTCCTTAAGGAAAATGGAGTCTTCAGTTTGCCTCATCTCCCTCCTTTCTTCTCCTTCTCTTGCTCCCTGCCACCAAGAGCTGGACTCAACTGGCCCAGCCCTTCTAGTAAGGAAAGGTAGTTGCTGGTCCTCACTAGACCACTTTGGTATCTGTGGGTTAGTCAGAGACCTACAGGGAAAGGGAATGCTGCTCTTTAATTCCCTGTGCTTTGCCTGGCTTGACTACACCTTTGCTTGCTGCTTGAATGCAACCAGTGCTACAGGCACTTGTGCAGCATCCCTCCTGTGCCTCCACTAATCGTGGTGGAGAGAAGGGCTGCCAGAATGCGCTTTGCAGCAGAAGATTGGCTCAGAGTTTCCACTGGCCACAGTGGTTTCTTAAAGCTCAGGAGAGATAATCTGTCATGCAATGGTTTTCTGTGCCAAGACTTGGGAGAGGCAGGGTGCGGATGGAAGTGGGAGCAATGACCATATTTTTCTCTACGAAGTCTCCACCTCATGGGGATGACACTGGTAAGAAAATTGCACTTAACTTCCATGTCGCTGTCAGTCATGAAGCACAGGCTTCTGTTCTGTTAGTAAAAGAATGAGCAAGGAAGAAGGGTGCACTGATGGGGCTTTGCTGAATCAGTGCTTAATCACTGCTTTCATTAGTCCTGACGTTTTGAAGGTTTGGATGTGCTGAGAGCAGTGCCTGTTGGTACAACTCAGCATGTAGAAACAACAGGGATAGCAGGGAGGGGGTGGAACAGAAAAACTTGCTCTAACCAGTGTTCTGTCCACTTTGTTTTGGTTTTCCCTAAAGGGAGAAGTACCATCTCTGCAGGTGGGCTGGATTTATTGCTGGCTTTAAGGTTCCCAAAAATTATAGGTTAGCTGGGACTAGTTAATGAAGAGGATTTTGACCTACATGTCATGGATGATAGCAGTGGTGATACTGTATGGAGCAAAACCAGAAGCTCCATCTGGCTTAGAAACGACAGAGGGCTCTGGTAGCTTGCCATGCTGCTATTTCAGTGTCCAAAGCCTGGGGTTAACGTCAGGATTTCCCACATCCCCTCTGCACACCCTCCTGGCACAGCTTCCCCAGTTGCTTTTCATCACAGGTCCACACTCCGTTTCCCAAGAAAAAGTTTACAAATCTGATGGTATGCATACATATTGCTCTGTTATCTGGTGGTGGATGTCCATGTCTCCCAAGCCAACACTGAGCTCCCCAGCACTGGTGATCACAGCACAGTAAGTGGCTGTGTTCTTCGCCTCCAGCTGAAGGATGGCACTCATGTCCTAAAACAGGGAGGACAGTTACACAAGGAGCATGTTTCTCGCAGCTACCACACTTGGCACATCCTTTCTCTGTATCCACCTGATCAGTAGCCCAGCCTGCTGTTCTGCATTTAACCTCCCTTCTCTCTTGAAATAAGTAACATTTCAAAGGAATCCTGCTCTAGACAATGCTGGCAGATAGCTATTTTTTAATATTTACAATACAACAAATGCCCCTGCTTCAAGAAATCATTTAGTAAATGAGAGTGACAGGTCTCTGTCGTGCAGTTCTATAGGCTGTCTCTGTCGTGGTCTGCAGCCCTGCCTGCTCCAGCTACCCATTCCTATAGCTTGTGTGACACTTCAATGGCCTGACAACATGCTGGCACGTCTTGGTGGCACACTCCAGCTAGCAGTTATGTCAGCCACCTCACCAGACTGCACAGCCCAATGTTGAGAGCAGCCTTGGAGCCATTTTTACAGCAGTGTCACAGACATACCTATGAGGTGTGGGGGTCTTGTGAATAATCTGCTTAGAGAACTCAGGACATTTCTTGGAATATACACGTGGACAGAGCAATGCAGCCACCCCAGCAGCTCACAGGGAATTTGGAGGTTTTAAGGAGACGCATTGTTAGTAATACGCTTTGTTACAGACAAGGATTGCTTGGCTGCTGCCCAGCAAGTCCATCTTCCCTTGGCAGACCTCTCACTTTGATGGCACAAACTATGCTGGGTAGATGGGGGATTATAGACCTGCTGCTATGAAGCCTTTATAAACAAAGAGTTTATGTTCTTATTACTTCATTTACCCAACTGCTCAGGTAGCCAGAACTAAGGACCCCTGTGTTCTATCTGGATATTAGGGACCTGAGGGTGTTAATAGGCCTTAATGGCCCTGATCAGCTTCATCTGAGGGCTCTACCTACATCCAGCCCTGCCTCTACATCACAGAGGTGTGGGATGATTTGGGTTAGGGTTGTTCTCATGGCTTTTCCCGCTCCCCACTGGGGTGGCATGCTCTGTCTTGCTGCCCCCTCCATGAGCTCCTGCTGCTCCTGGGTCCCTAACCTCAGTGGACAAGCTGCTGTTTAAGTCAGGTATTCCTCTGGTGCACAGTGAGGGGTGTAGGCAGCTATGTAGGGGACCTTACTCTTCTAAAGCTTTAAGGTGTCCAGCTGAGTTCCCAGTTCCAGTTATTCTCTGTCATATACTTTATTCAACCAAGGCCAATTTTGGCATTGCTTTGTCTATCTTCAGGGTCAGGGTTTACATGTTTCTAGTTGTGCTTATGCCTTACTAGAGTTTTTCATGGTTCCTCCTGATTTAACTCACTTTCTCTCCTTCAAGCATCACTCCTTGGAGCTGAATTCAGTCCCCATGGTTCAGACTCCAAATGGTATATACATTTGGCCTGTGTTTTGGGGGTTGGCTCCACGCCTTCTAGCTTTCTGTAACTAAAGGAGCATTGAATTATTTCTACTCTTAGCCTGGTGGGAAATAGCTTTTATGTTTGCCAGGGTTGAGAAGATTTTTCCCTCTATGCAACTTCATCACCTCCATGCTCCTGATGTGCTGCTACTGTGCAACATACCATATGGTGACAGTAGTGCAGGACGGATTCTGAATGTTCATCCTTCCCCACAGCTGATAAAAAGAGAGGAGTCTGTCCAAGGCGGCTTAAGCAGTCTAAAAGGCAAGTGGAAACAAGAGACATTAGTAAATCCGTCAGAGTATTCTGGACACAGTGACAGCCTGTGCAGGTTAAGAAAGCCCTTTCCTGGAAAACTTTATGCCCACCAATCCCTGTCTAAAGGACATTCAAGATGAAACTCAGCCACAGCTGCTGCAAATGGTTGGATGGGGTTGAGTGGGGTGATCTGTGTCTGCCTGTTGTACTGGCAGTCTGAATCCTCTGGATATTTTGGAACATCTAGGAGGAAAAGAGAAGAAGGGGTGCATGGATGATCATCTCTGAATAAGCTTATTCCTCTGAAATTCTTGCTCAAAACCAGCTCTTATTGCAACTATAATCAGGCATTAATTCAGTGCTGAGGGCCAGACTGTTCACTGGAGATCATTGATGCTTACTTAACTTTAATTTGGGGTCAGTGTGCTACATGCTACTTAACTTCATATTTGTGGACCTTTCTTTTCCTGATCCTAACTCCCTTCCCTCTTACTTCTTGGAATGGCCCCTGCCATTTCCAGGCAGTCTGCCTGCTGGTATATTGCCTAACATGTCCCAGATCTTAACAGCATTCAAGAGCTCCTGCTGTTGAAGGAATACCAAAGGACAAATCACAGCTGGCATGCACCCACAAGCAAACACAAGCACGAGGCACCTGCCAAGTTTCTTCCAACACCGCCAAAGGTTCGTCTCACTCCTCCAGCATTTGTTTGCCCACCACCCTGGAAGAACAAATTGTTAATTGGCAAAACTGGAGGGCTGCTTGGCATGAATGCTGTGTCTCCTTCAACATGTGAAGTCAAGTTGATGTTACTGAAACATAGGTCATCAATTAAAGGGAGAAGAAGGCATCTAGATACCAGATTGAGGGCAATATAAACATCTACAGCTATCTACAGACTTCAACCTTGATGACAAAGGCCTGCTTCCTAGGAGGGGAGATCAAGCAGCTCTCCCCATGCGTTGCTATTTCAGTCTTACTTGCTAAGACCTCTTAAAGAGAACAAAGCTAATAAATGTTTCAGTTGATATGAGCAGCCCTCTGAATTTACCAGCTCACCACAGTGCTGCGACTCCAGAGCTGCTGACCCAGACCTGAATGGCTCTGCCGCTGCCTTCAGACCATTTAGCTGCCCCCTTAAGCAATTTGGGGGTTGATTTCTTATTTATTTATTTTTCTCTTTGTAAAATGATGGAGGGTAGATTTAGATTAGACATAAGGAATAAATTCTTCACTATGAGTTTGGTGAGGCCCTGGCACAGGCTGCCCAGAGAAGCTGTGGCTGCCCCATCCCTGGCAATGTTCAAGGCCAGGTTGGACTGGGCTTGGAGCAACCTGGTCTAGCGGAAGGTGTCTCTACCCATGGCAGGGGGGTGGAACTGGATGAGCTTTAAGGTCCCTTCAAACCCAAACCATACTATGAAAGTTAGATTTGTTACCTTCACGTGTACTGTCTCTATACTTTACTCATGGAAGGACCTGTTTCGGTGTCTGAATACTTTTTAACTCACCCTTCTCCTCCCAGATATCTCCCTTACGAAAAGTGCTCTTCTCCACCTGTGTGGTTATCAACTTCTCTTTTCACTTGCCTCTGCCTTCCACTCCCCAGCCCATGTGTCAGACTGTCACATCCAAGTTTTCAGAATCCCTCTCCCATCTCCCCCTTCTTCTAAATGTTCTGCCATTAGAATTACATCAGTAAGTGCTCAAATCAACTTGGGCTTTTTTTTGACTATCAAATGGCTTAAAAGCTTTTGTTTCATAAAATCCTGAAACATACTTTCCATTTCTGAAGACAGCTTGCCACTGGTGGTCATAATGATCTTCACAGTTCTGCGTAACTCGGAGCTCTCAAGTGTATGCTGAGGATCTGTGTGGCAAGCACTGAAGCGTGTGCATGCCCATACACAGCAGCTCCTGGCCCAGTCTTTCACCGCCTCTTGTTAGCCCAGGTGCACCAGAATACCCCTGCACATACACATTGCTCTTGCTTGTAAACACCGCTTGATTGCAAACACAAAACAAGTAAATGTATTGCCATCTCACAGTAAGAAGTATTCTGCCTCCAACCTGCTGCTATTCTTGGGCCTTCTCAAAACTCAGACTGAAGCTCTCCAAGGACCCTTCTACCCCAGTGTGAAGCTGCACATTTGTCCTTTGCACAGAATGCTTTTTTCTGCATCCAGCCCTACAACTGTAAGAGGCTGCTCTCCAATCTAAATATGGTCTTTTATCACTCTCTTCTGACCTCCAGGCTGCTTTTGCTTGCCTTGACTCTCCCCAGTTCTGTAGCCTGCAAGACTTTGTGCTAATTCTTGACGCCTTTGTTTCTCTGTCTGGCAGTTCTCCAAGCCCTGACCTGCTCAGACCACCTGAGCAGAACTGGCTGTATATAAGCAACCTATGGCTTCTGTCCATCTTTCCACTACTTGTCACTCCTTGTTAAGCCAAATGCCCCTCTGTTACATTTGGTCATGCTCCCTGGGAATTGCCACTGGTACTGCCAGGAATGAGTCTATTTCCATCTGCAACTGTCTTTGGTTGAGTGTTGCAGATTTTGAAAGCATCAAGCTTGGCTATTTTAACTCTGAAGCAGCCAAGAGCAAAATAAAAGAAACCCACTCCAAAGTAAAAAGCAAGGATGCTTGTTTAGGCAAGTCAAACAACATGGCTTTGATCACTGGCCCCTATTTCAATATTAAAAGAGGGTACTAACCACCATCGTTAATGAGCACAAACTCTATTTTATGTGGTTCCACTATCTGTTTTTCAAAACTGATTCCTGCAGGAATGTTGAAAATACTCATGAGCTCCTTTTGTTGTCTGGCTGCTGAGCTTCTCAGTTAGTCCCCTACACAGCCCAAAGGCAGAGTTTCAGATTTTTACACCAAGCCTTGCCCTAACAGCAGTGGGTGACCTCTGCTGCTGTATAACCCCACAGGGCCTGAAAAACATGAAGATGCTAAATCTCTCTTTAAAGTAGCAGATGGGTGCAATGAGAGAGAAACTAGCAGCCTGCTTTTGAATTAAAAATGACTGGCTCTCATTGCACCTCACTAGCTCAGCCAGTAACTTCAAGTTTCAGCTCAGGTATTTCTTCTATGTAGTCTTCAGGTGGGAATGTCTGAGGTGAAAGATAAAAATGGCATTGCTGTGGTGATTTGAAGTAAGACTGGGCTGATACTTTCTGGCAATGTTTCAGACTTTAGTCTCTGGGATCTTCTTCCATGTCCTAAGAGGTTTGAATTCCTAATGCAAAAATGAGACTCTGCTCAACTTCTGGGTATCCTGAGGGAGTTATAATCATTATGCTGCTTCTAGCACCTCTTCTCAGCAAAACCAAACATCAGTCTCTGCAGGTCAGATGGTTACTTTGCATATTTAGTCAGATAGCACTTTGCATCTGGATACCCTTGAAAGCCATGTGGGAATTACAACCAGGACATAATACAGCAGCTTTCCTGCGGAGACAGCAAGAGGTGTGAGTGGTACTCCAGTGATCTGCAACAAATCCAGAACACGTAAGGGTGGGAGCTCCTGGGTGCTAAGCCCTTTAGAAAAGACCTATCTTTTGAAGCCAAAACAAAGCAATGCTGTTGAGAGTGCTTTTTCCTCTGTGCCTAACCACAGCAGCTGTCAGCAGCAGTGTTACAGCTGTCAATTCCCAAATCCTCCTGTAGTTTGGCATTTGAGTAGTTGCCACAATGGCCTAACTTTAACGCTTGCTGTTATACAGAAGGGCAGCTAATGCCTCATTTTTTCATACACCATTAGTATCTCCTTTTCCCTTTCCCCCCATCAGCTGTTCCCAGCAGTGTCTATAGCTGCTCTTGCCTCCTCACTGTGCCATGGGTGGTCCAGGGATCTGCACTCACGTTTGACACACCAGGGGGTGGCTGCCTTCCCTGGGACACAGCTTATCTCCTTGTCCTGACAGCTGAGTGTGGCATATGGGTGTTATAGGTTAGATCATCACCGAAGCAGTTGAACTTTTAGTTTTGCAAGCCTTCATAGCTGATACCACAGCAACTGTCACCCTTGACCATTATATTACCGTTTGGTCTCTGCCTTTGTATCACTGAATAGCCAGCTTCTGTAACGACAGCTTCTCCAGCACATCTTTCCCTATCTGACTGAGGGGTCTTCACAGGCTGTCCCATCTGACAGCAGGAGTTTCCTATCCTTGGACAGGAAGGACAGCATGGAGTAATTTGAGACACAAAACAACTGTTGAGCAAGCTTCACCGCCTCCATCTATAGTACTTCATATAGCTCAACAAAAATTGTATAGGCCATGCAAATAGCTGTCATTTGCATGGGGAAGTCCCAGGTCTGTTCCACTTTAGATTTTTGGGCGTTTTGTGGTCAAACCAAATTGTGAGGGAGAGGGTCTGATAACATTTAAAATGTTCTTTCTTTTTTTTTTAAGTTTTTTTCTCTGTGTGTGACTTAAACCCTTCATGACTGAGGCAGTTGGTTCTCTGGTTTGCTGTGTCAGTACTTCTTTTCTGAGAGGTTTCTTACCACTGTGCGCATTCTGCATGGAGATTCTTGCTTCCTATTCATGCTGCCCTTCCACAGCAAAGACAGTCCCAGGCAGCCAGAGCTGGCTGTTACTTCGAGATTTCCCCTCTATTGTGTGACAGCTTTTGAATTAGAGCTGTCACAGCACAGTGAAGGCCTTCACCTGCTGCTTCTAGCTCTTTGCATATGTGCTTCTAGAATGTCCTTGGCAGCTCTTCTGCTAAAAGAACTCTTTGGGCTTTTGGAATCAAGGAATATTCCCAGAGCACCTTAAGATAGTCTGTAGAGGCCAGAGTCATACGCGGAGATTATCAGGGTGACCCATTGCTCTGTCTTTTGTCTTGAGTGGCAGAGATAGTGACTTTTAGCACGGGAACAGAATAGGTCAATATGTATCATTCCATTGCTCACCTAGACAACACATCAAATATGCACCACTACACCTCCCAGGTTTGCACATGTGTATGGATAAAGACATGTGGGTACAATAAAGATATCGTGGGTGGATGCTGCCTTCCTCCCCACCCCAACTTTGGCTTGGTACTCCTGTAAAAATAGCTGGAAATGACAGTGGTGCTAAGGAAACTGCTAGATACAGTACCAGGATGACAGGGTTCTGTGCCTTGGCTATAAAGTCAACGTTGATGCCTCCAATCACCACCTTCAGGAGAGAAAAAAAGATGTAAAAAGTGGTTAGACGGACTTGAAGAAAAAGTTTCCAAGTCTTCTTTGCTTTTCCTAGTCACTTTTCCCACCCTCTTGAGAGCTGGCTAATTTTCACTGTGCTTATTTTGGATGGCTAGACACAAGTCTGTACAAATTAGGAAGAATGGAAATCTCTTCTATATGTTGCTTTCTGAATTATTCCTGCTCATAGCAAGCCCCAGCATGGCAGGTGGGATGCTACTGTATACATGTATGGGTACTGGCAGTTTCTCTGTGTGGTGATAAAGTAATGTAAGGCATTGCATGGGTCTGGTCACATCAGTGCCCTTGAAGCCATTTCTCTTGGGACAATTTCTGACATACAAAACCTCAGAAACATTCAAGCACTGTTGTGTAAGAAAGACAAGAAAATGGGGAAAAAGTGGACAGAAAAATGCAGTCATTTCTTGCAAGCTCCCAGGAGAAATTTCCACACCCAGTGACACTTTATGGAGCACTCTCTTAGTGTCCTACAAAGCCAGAAAAAGCAATACAGCTCCACAAACAGGAAGTTTCCAAGTTCTTTTGGGACATACAGGGTTTTTCTCATTCCATCAGATGCTGGGTTATTGTCTCTGGAGTCACTGCCCTCTTTTATGTCGACAAATTTTACTGCAAAAGGGGTTTAGAAAATTTTCCATCTCTCTGAAGACTACCTAAAATAGATTTCCCATAAATTATGTGGCACACAAAAAAATCCAGGAGAGTGAATAGAGTATTGGGATTATAATGGATCTTGTTCAGGATATGCTGTACCTTTTGTAATTTTTGCAATTATGAGCAGGAGGCCAACAAAAAGGAGATATTTATAAAACATGTATAGCTCAACAGCTCAAAATATCTCCCTCTACCCTCTTCCAGGTCTACTCCTGTAGTCTCGAGTTCCCTGGCACTGAAAGCAATACAGCTGAAGTTGTACATAAGGGCACAGTAAAAGGTGATTAAAGTTTTAATGGATTTGGCGGTCTAAGACTTAATGGGATTAGGCCACTGTCAGTGTTCATTCCCTGTAAATATGGATGGGGGGTGGGGGAGAGGAAAGGATATTTATCTAAGACAAATAAGAAATACTAGATTAAGATAGGGCTCTTAAGATTGGCTTTTGTAAACAGATATAAATGCGTCTTGTGCTGTCAGCAGAGGCGTTATACGGAAAGCAGACAACTCACTGGCTGGGGTGGGGTTGTGTCCTCTCGCCGAGGCAGGTTCCCCTTCCTCCTGGCTTTCTGCAGTTTGCTCAGGGCCACCGCAATGCCGCTGCCCACTCTGGCATTGTTCTGGATCAGGGCAAGGTCTGTTTGGCATTTCTTTGAGGAAAAGCAAAAATACCAGCAAGACTGACCTGTTAGAAGCCTATGTAGGAACTGTTTAGAGGAGAATGCAGAAAATACGTGCTGTGAGACTTGATAGATTTGAACCCCCTACACCCTTTGGGGAGGCAAATACTAGGTTACCGTACTGCATGAACACCCTGAATTTTAACACCCACAGCTGTTTCCCTTACAAGTTTCTCTTACTGTGTGACCGCATGATGACCTGGCTAAGGCAGCGGGATGTAGAGTGCAGTGCTCTGGAAAGCTCAGGTACCTTCCACTGTGCAATCATACCATGGACAACAGTGTCCTGAGATTCCATCACAGGACAGGCAAGCTTGGGGATCAGATGTAAGGGATCTCTTTGGACTCTGGACCACCTGCTGTCTGTGCTGCGCTCCAATTTTTAATGCAAAAGTAGATGAGGACAGTTAATGGTGTTCCTGAAAAAGGAAGATGCAATAGCTAAGCTCTCATCTGTTTGCAGATACTGAAGTGTTTTCCCCTTGCTAGACTGCCAATAAAGTGATAGCATTTTCACCAAGCATTGTCAGAAGAGACAGTACACTGGAGTACTTCCCCCCTCTCATTCACTAAAAGGATACTGGAGTCCAGTGATTTCCCATCAGTTAATTCACTGAGCCTCCGTAACATAAAAGGGGTCAGTTCTTTGCCTGTGATCCCTTTGGACCTGCAGATGTAAAGAAAACGCCTGCAGATGAGAAGGACTGAGCTGAAACAGCATCCAAGGAGAAGCACTGCTTCTAGCAGATAATTTATCTCCATAACCACATACTGTAAAAAGTCCTGCAAACATGCTTCAGGTTAGACAAAATTACAGTTGAAAGCATGCTGTGGGCTCAGTCATGCCTGAGGTTAGACTGTACTACAGCCCCTGTAGCAGTGTCCCTGAAGTCGTCTACTTCTCCAGGACCCAGGTGAGCAAAGGCTAGGGCTTAGGTTGGTTCTCACCTGGCTTCGCTGAGAGCTTGCTGGATGGCTTCTTCGATGACTTGGCCTGAGGCAGCTCGCTCCTTGGGACAGGGCACTGCTATCAGCACCCCGCTGCTCATGCCCAGCCCCAGAGCACTGGCTGGGAGAGGACAGGCACATCATTAGTGGTTCTCCTTGAGTAAATCAAATGCTGAAGGAAAATGACAAGAGTGGGTGCAGAGTGAAGGAACCCACAGAGCAGAAACTCCTGTTCTTAGCTGACCCAAAGACATGGTCTAGTCTTTTCCAGCTACCAAACAGTTTACACGTGACTATTTCTTTTGAGTCTGTACAATAAAGGGGCAAATAATTTGTTTTTGTAAAGAAAACTGACTCCACTTCTGAGGGCTCAGAAACTGTTTTTGTAAATACATTAACATATATGTTCCCTTTACCTCACCAGTGTGAAGAAAACATGTCTCAGCATGCCAAGGTGGCTGCAGCTAGGTAAGAAACTTGCTGTAAAAACTGAATTTCACTGCTGCTTTACAAAGCACTAAAGCAGGAATGGGGGAGGTGGGATGGCCTGGTTTTTGGGACAAACCCTTCTCCAAAAAAAGCTCTTAAAAAAGTGCCTCATCCAAATGTGATTTTTGTGTCCTGCTCTTCCAGGACCCTACATGGGCCTTTTCTTTCTGAAACACACCAATGAGTTGAGCTGCCTCCTCTTCATCCCGGACCTGATATGGTGCCTGGAAGCCGCTCTGGCGTGAGAAGAAGGCTGGGAACTCCCTTGACTCTCCAAAGGCAGCCACACAAACTCCCTGTGTCTCCTGCAGCAGTGGAGGCGAGACCAGCAGGTAATCAGCAGAGGGAAAGGGGGCCCACCAAAAGAAGGGGGCTTTTTCCTAGAAACTGTCTTTCTTTAGCACAGGTTTTGGTTATTTTATGCATCCCACTCTACTCAGTTATATCACCAACATTTTTTGAAGTAAAGAGCCAGCCATGGTAACAGGATAGACAGAATTTGGCTTCCACAGGAGATGTGCATGTCCTGTGCTTGTGCTCAGAGCTGATCAAAAGCCATGCAGCTGTCATTAGGGCAACACTGAGTCTGAGGTAACAACTTGTGATCTGAAGATATGTTGTAAGCTGACAGGAATATAAATGAGTTCTGTTTGTGATTAAGAAGCATTGATGTTGGCAGTTACCTGAAGCACTGGCCCTGGTGGTTCCCAAACCTTAAAAAGTGACTCTACTGAAAATCATTTGATTCCCATTTTAATTCTATTTTAGCATTTGATGGATATAGCTTGCCTGATCCACCAATTCTGGAGTATTGTCCCAGAAAATCAAGTCCAAAGCCAGAGAAAGACAGCATGGCTAGCACTGGTTTTGGCGTCAATTGGAACAGGTGCTGGAACAGCCCCTTGGGGATGGATAAATTTATGTTAGGGAGCAGCCCAGAGCTTGTATAGCCCCAGAACTAGAGAACAGTAAATATAGCTTCACGTCCTCTCAATAGTAATTTCTAAAAATCTTAGGTTTAATGCTTACCCCAACACCACTGGGCATTCTGGACACAAAGCACATTCCCTGCTTTCAGGCTCAGCAGCCCATGCTACCTACCAGATATTCCAGTGTCCTGCCAATATCAAGGATAGATTTGACTCCTGCAGATACAACAGCAACCGGAGTTCGTCCTAGCTCCGTCAAGTCAGCACTCACATCCAGACCTGTCAAGGGACAAGCAGACATTATGTTGGTGACTGTGTTGTATTCCAAGCAGATGTGATCCGCCCTCTTAAAAAGTTGTCTCTGCCTGGGATGCCACTGCCTGCTTTTGTAACCACTTAGATCCAGAAACAAATATTACAGGTTTAGATCATGCCTTTAAGTGTTGCGATAGAAAGAGATATTGACAAAAAATCACATAGCTTAGGGCAGAGGTGCAGCCATGCATTGTATCTCTCGGCTCTTTGATCACATCAATAAACAGCATGTAAAAATTTGGTAGAAAAGAAAGAAGAAGGGTTATACAGCAAGGGCAAAGTTCAGGGAGATGGAATATAATTTAAGTAGATTTTGATTTTGGTATTGACATCACTGGCAAAGAAAAAAAGCCACAGGAGCTTTGCTGACCTCAGAACATTTCGTGGTCTTGAATTTACATCTGAAAGGGATGTCATCCAGCCGAGCAATGCAGTTATGCTGTGCTAGGAATATATACGACTACGAAGAAAGAACGTACTTAAAGGTCACAAACTACACTGCCAAGGCTGGGCCATTTTCCAGAGAGGAACATGCACTTCTAACACAGACCAGGGCCTAAGCTTCTTTTGTGGATATACTCTGCCTCCCCAGCTGAGAGGGAGTCAGTAACAACACTGTCCTCCAAGCCCCTATCAGGTTATCCAGCCATTACAAAGTGGAAAAGGTACAGTCAGCTCCTGTTGTGACAGCAAACAATATCCATTTAACCCCATGTAAGCAAAAGGTAAACTCATAGCCTCTTAACAACTGGCCAGTGCTCAAGAGGAGTATTTTGAAGCTTCTGGAAAGGAGACACGAGGGAAAAAACAACCATAATATGGTTAAGAAGAATGATAACTTTACTCTTCTGCAGGACAAACTGGGAAAATGGAAAAAGATGGAATGAAATAAAGCAAAGTACAATGTATTGATTTTCTTACTGTTCTCTCCTCCCCGATGGACACCTCCTATGCCACCCGTCACAAACACACGGATTCCTGCTTTGTGTGCGGCAATCATTGTTCCAGACACAGTAGTGCCACCAGACAAGCCCTGTCAGGGGACAAAGTCACAGTCAGCACCCAGGGTGACATGGAGAATGCTACATGTGGGCAGCTGTGGTTGTGGTCTGACACACAGCAATGTCACAACAGCCTGCTGTCACCAGCTGACAAGTGAAATACCGATACAAATATTCTATTAGGCAAAACCACAGAAGAATCATGGTCCTTGCTACATAAGCTGCTCTTGCAAAGGCAAGTTCACCAGGGATTTCCAGGGCTTTCCAACCAGAAGGCTTCATAGGCAGCTAGTGTCACCTTAAGATGTCACTTTAAGCTTGTGATGGCCTGCATGTCACATAGTTTGTATGTAACGTGATGATGCCTTATCATGCCAATAATATTCTTAGCCCAATACTCGTGGCTTGCCAGCCAATCCAGAATGTCTTTTCACTAACCCTATGGCTGCTATTCCCATACTTTGTTGTATTTTTATTCTAGATAGGACCACATTTGAGCTTGCCAGTAAAATACCACTTTACATGATCTTTTCAGGAAGTTTAAGAGGCACCTGGCTTGAAGCTGAGGAGCATTACACTATAGCTGTAGAGAAAACACTAAAACAGAAAGTCTACAAACCATACCTGGCTGAGGACAAAAGGAAGATCTCTCCGAGACACTTTAGTTACATTTTTACTGCTTGCCAAGAACTCAAGTTCCTCATCTGTGAGTCCTATATGGATTTGACCTCTTAAGATACCTACAGTGGCTGGCACTGCTCCATTTTTTGTTACAATTTCTTCCACATCTCTGGCCATGCTAGAATAAGATAAACAAGACAACAGTCACAAAATTCATGAGGCAAACAATCAGACAAGAAAACTGCCATGTTTGGTGGCCATTATTCCCAGCTTCCAGTTTTATACAGTCCTTGTGATTTCAGCAAAGTCCAGTTCCTCTTCTGTATTTTCCTAGTGGCAAAAGTCTTTGCATTTGAATTTGCAGAAGTGCAGAGGTCCCATTTTCAGGACAGCAATGTCCAAGCTTTATGCTTCATTTTTGAGAAAAGAAAACATTGCTTGGTGTACAGGCAAATCTGGTTGTACAATAGACTACTGAAAAACAGGGATTGCCTCAAAATAGCATCTTTCTGTATCTATTACCCATTATTTCTCTGAGATCAGAAACCTTCACAGAAACCTCAGGTAATTGAAGCCCTGCTCAGAAGACCAGGATATATTTTTCACAATACAGGCAGTTACAGAGTGACAGCAGTGCCTGAGGATACTCCAGGGCTACAGTTTAGGCCTTTCTAAGCTTCACAGGTTTTATATTTCATCAATCATACACTATCCTTTTTAAGAGCAGCTTCTTCTTTTCTGAGCCATCTGCACATACGTTAGGCAATCTGTAACTACTGAAACTACCTCCTTCCCAAAATCAGGTTTTTAGAGTTTCATTCTAAGAATGTCAGGAAGAATAACAGCCAGGTAAAAATCAAGATGGAAAATCCATACCAAAAAATTCCTGTGCTTTCTGGAAGCAAGGATGGAGAGTACAATTATTTCTGGCACTGTAACCCAATGAAACGCGAGTCTGCTGAGCATCAGTAAATAAAGGGTAGAGGTTGGAGAGGTTCTACGCAGGGTACAGAAAGCAGCAAGAGGGATCAGTAGCTCTCACAGTAGCTGCCCTGAGTGGCAGCAAGGAACAGATTTCACTATTGTATTCCAGTCCTTTTTGCATTATGAAAGATATACCAAAAGAAACCGCAGAGTGTTTTCAACGTCTGTAAAAACTATGCAGCTTCTCTCAGAGCAAGTGATGACATTATCTGCTGCCACATTTTAAAGGAAGCCAGAAATGTTTGGTGCTGGATAAGAAGATAAATAGTACCCCATATGTGTCCTTAAAAGGCCAAATGCAACTGTTTTACACCAGAGCTCATATTCTGCATGCCTGACAATTTCCATTTGCTCTTACAGGGGTTTTGGCTTGACCAAGAAAACCAGTCCTGATACACCAGTTATATGCCTGTTCTTACAACTTTGTTGAACAAGAAACATCAAAATCGACCACCTCAAATTCTGAGGATAGGCCATGCCATGTGTAATGATGGTGCTTTCCAAGGCTACGACTGGTCTCCCCTCCATCAGGGCTTCCTGTACGGAAGGCTGAATCCTGACATAAGCACCTGGGGACAAACACAGAAAAGTGAATTATTTGTGCGGATATTTGAAGTTACTACTGAGCTGTTTTGTAAAAGACAAATTGTCATCATCACAACAAATTTATCCCCCTCTTAGTTGTTCTTTGGGGTGAATTCAGAAATAACTTCACAAAGCTTCACTTATGTAAGTGAAATATTTGCAAAATATCTCTGTTGTTGGTATGAACAATAATCGTCCTCATCATCACTGAGTGTTCCTCTGCCACCAGTTTTGCAGCTGCGTTGTCACTGGCTCCAGTAACATTACTTTAAATTAGCATTACTGTGAACAGAGCCCTGAAACCATGCTCAAAGAATACGTTCTAAAAGAGTGGAGAGACCAAGGATACCATAGTAACTCAATACATTGTAAGGCTATTGTGCATCAAGACTATTGTTGCTCTTTGTTTTGCTCCCAGAACACTGTCAGCAAGGTCCCTGCTGCATTCAAATGAGGAAAATGCTTTCCACCCAGGAACTCTTTCAGAATACACTACTTACCACGCAGAAATCTTCTCACATGGGTGGTCCCACATGCCACAGTAGATACATGTTTTCCCAGGCTCCAGGCTATCTTCCCAATCATCTTTTGCACTCAGTTGGTGCTGAGATAACAAAAGTCAGGCAAAAACAAAAGAGGTAATTTAGCAGTAATGGGACCATGTGAAGCTAAACATACCATCTACTGCCTTGATCTCGGCAGGTAAACAACCCTTGCCCAGGAGACTGCCTGGAGACTCATGGTGCTTCAAGCATGAGCCATGCTGTCAAAGCAAAATGTTATGCTGCAGAAATGGAGTTGGAAGGGTTCACCTGGCCCGTTGTTAACATTGGGCTGAAATCGTGGGGAAGCAGAGTAACTAATGAGGAGTAACAAACTAGAGAGAGGTTGGAAGTAGACAACTTTAATTTCCAAAGCTACTTGCTCATGACAGATTGCAGGCTCAGCCACTGCCACCTCCAGCCTGAAAGATCACGGAGAGCAATGTACAAGGCGGACGCAGGCAGAGGAATGCTATAAAGATATGAACCCAGTTTTTGCTAGTGTCTAGGAGGAAACAGCAGTTCAATAAAACAAAGAAAGGAGCTGGGAACTGCTAAACCAAGCTGTAAGTACAAGGAGGAAAGAGCAGCTTTCCCTAGAGCCCGGAGAGCTTTATGTAGGCTCACGTTACATCATCCTTCTTAGCGCAAAGCTGTGGAAGCAGAGCCGCAGTTCAGCCCCGGCAACAAACTCCAGAACTCCTCCGGTCTCTTAGCAACTCCTATTCACTTTAATTACATTCATTTCCAAACAGAAAAAGAGGGAGAGAGAGCTGTAAAGGTTAAGAGACTGGTCTGGTCTGGGCCTCGGGGCAGTTTCACTCAATGCCTGAGTGCTTCACTTATTTTCCCTGGGCGTTTTGCTGTATCCCTCCAGCCTTTCTATTCTTCACACCTTCACCAGAAGGAAAAGATTCCACTCTTCAGTCCTTTGCACCTATTGTTAATTTAGATTGCAAATCAATTAAAATAAGTTCTGTGCTCATGTTACATTCAGCAGAACACCGCTCTGAGCCCAGCGTGTGGCACTAGAGCTATATAGAAACATCTTTTACCTAGGAAGAGTATTTTTGCCCAGATCCGAAAACTTCAGCTGTACAGGACAGCTGGGTTGTGTAAGTCAAGAAAAAAGGGCCTGGTTCAGCTAGACACAATACACACCTGTCTGAAACAGTAAGATTTTCCACTTTCCAAATCCTTTTTAAGGATAAAAATCTTAATCAAGTTTATGGAATCATATTATAACAGCAAAGTGGCAAAAGCTCTTACTTCACGCTTACAACCTCTGCCTGTGCAATGCTAAGCTCAGCAGCCTGAGTAGTTCATGCAAATGTTTGGTATTGCTCTGTGTGTGTGTGTATACACCCCTTGCTCTCCAGGGCAAAGTCAGCTTTGGAATAAATTCATTAAGCCAACAAGGTTACACCAGGGATCAGTTGAGCTGCTCGAGTTGTGCTCTGAATGTTAACAACCCCCCAAATGCTGCACAACAGCCAGGAGTGCCCAAGCTGTGCCGGCTGGTGGATAAAACCCAGCTGGTCAGCACCTGAAACTCAATACAACTTCGCTGATGTTCGCTGGAAACTCAGCCAACGCTTGGCCTGAGCTGCCTGAAAGAGTTTTGAAGCTTGGCAAGTCTTATAGCAAGACCCACCCGACCTCTTGCCTTGTAACAAAACTTTGCAGACTCCTCTAGCACGGACAGGCTTTCCTCCCTCCTCCAAACCTTCCCTGCTCACCTCTCCCCATGATCGATCCAGTTTATCCAACCTCATGGAGCAACGGCCTGGCATGTCTCTTACCTCTGGGCATTCGCCTCATGCAGGGAGGCTGGGTGGGTGCTGGAGCAGTGCCTGGGCAGCCCTGGAGAAGGCAGGAGGATGGGGGGGGGGGGGGGGGGGGGGGGGGCAGGAGCATCACATGGGGGTGTGCACCCTGGCAAAGAGAGCCTATTTATTATTAACCACAGGCAGCTGACCTCTGCAACTGCTCGCTGCCTGGGGTGCAGGGGGCCATTTCACAACGGGGCGAGGAAAGCTGCTGTGATTATTTTTGTTCCCATGGTGCCAGATTCCCCCCTCTCTCTTCAGAAGACTTCTCTCATTTTTCAGATTCTTTTGCTGTTTGATATATTTTTTTAATGTGTGAATTCATTGCTCACTGAAACAATGCCTCTGCAGACTGAGACCCTTTGTACTTGTTCCTAAAAAGCAGAGGAACTACATTCATGCCTCCCCCACAACTTTGCCAAATACAGCTGTTAAGCTCTTTCTTCTCTCGGTAAGAGCTCTACTCAGCTCTGGTCTCCCAAGTGAGGAAAGCTGTAGGTCTAAAGACAGTTGTGGTGATACTCTATGATGCACACCTGGCTACATCAACACAAGCTGGGTTTGCAGGGGACAACTATTGTAGTCTCCTACTGTAAAGACAATCTAACCTAGCAGTTCCAGGGTGGCTTTGAAAGAGGACTTTGAAATGAATAAATCTTTGTCCCCTCATAAAAGCAATAATACTTTGAGATCTAATGCACTGATTATTACAAATGTTTTGATTTTACATTCTGCAGAAAGTACGAGAGTTCAGGGTTAAATTGCTACCCATGAAGGCATTGATTTATGCGATAAAAGACGAACATAATTGTACGCAGCTTCCACACATAACATAAAACCAGCTGAAGTAATTGCTAATGTATTGGTAAAGTAATCAGTGTCATGGAACTGATTTGACTGCAATCCATTAATCAGGAAATTGTAAAACATAGGTTGTTAAAGAAGTATTTGCACTTTACACTTATCCCTTTCAAAAGGAAGTTTCTTGCAACTTTTGTTTAACTCAGCAGTAATGAATGTCACCTTATTTTCTACATCCTTCCAATCTCTTCAACTAAACACATTCAAGAAACTTCAAACACAGCTTGCTGAGTTACAAAGACAATCTGCCTCTGGCTTTTGCTATGCATCTGGAGGGAATTTAATTGCAGAAATGATAAATTGCATCCTCAGATGCCATAAATGGATCCTGAAGATCCTGTGAATGGTATCTTCTTCCTGGGGGGATGGGTAGTCGGATGTATGGAAAAGAAAATGTGTAGGCAAAGTAGCATTTTTAAAAAATAAACACAAATTAAAATGATATCATTTTATTTTCAATTAAATCTATTTGGAAAGACTGCAGTAGTGTAGGAACCATCTGGGCTATCGCATTTTTGGTATGCTACCAGGCAAGATGATTTAGTAATCAAGCTGGTCACTCAGCTTCCAACTCTCAACATCAAGACTATCTCAAGATGATGTTATGCAGGGGGCACCCAGTTCAGTCTGCCAGATAAGTCGGGGTAAGAGTGTGTTGCTTGATCTGCCATTTTTCTCCTCAAACCAAGTGGAAAACCAGCCTGTTGGATTTCTAGCTCAGCCTTCCAATATGACGTGTAGGTCTCCAAGACAAAACAGGGCCACTCAAGCAGCTCTCTGAGGGATTCCAGCAGTCTTGTACACATCCCAGGTTTTGATTTGGTTTTGTGTATTATTATACAATGAAAATAAGATCTTACATGAGCAATTTTTCAAGGGCTAACCCCAACTTTTGCTGTACTGTAAAAGCCACTGAGGCTTGCTGAGCCAGGAAGAGTGGGCCAGTTTGATACCTGCCAGCTCCTGAGGGACAGGCTGGTCGTGCTGTTCCTAGCCTGTTTCTGAAATGTGATGTATGGCTGATGATGGCATAAGGGCTGGGGTGGCAGTCAGGACTACAGTGAGTAAGTGGCTGGCAGAAGAGAAAGCCCTAAAGAACAGCTGGAGACAGTTTGTGTAGCAAACCTGGGGGTAACTGTGGATAACTCCCTCTTCTGCTTGCTGCAGTGTTAGCTGACTTTCCAGTCCTGTCTGCCTGCAGTGACCCTGAGACCTTGCTGCTGGTACTTCCCACTCCGGGCCTCAGATGTAGAAGTTAATATTAAACAGGTTGCCGGGTAAAATGGGAGCAGCTGGGAACAATGAAGTCACCATGGTAAATTCCTATAGCCTGCTGGGAGCTGCGCCCTGGGGCTACCCTTGCATTTTCATCTGTGACTGATTCCTGCCCCAGCTACCATCTCCTCTGAAACCCGTTCTCTCTGAGAGGCATCACTACCGAAGGCGTTAGGGAAATGAGAAGCTCCACATTAGTTTTTGTCATGTCTCCCTTGAGACAGTATTTTCCTTTTCCTACGTACCTGATTTCAAAGAGTCTATTAATCTGCAGCAGCTCTGTGGGCTGGGATTTGCTTATTGGTGTTTCTCAATCGTGAAGCTTGTTTCTAGGCCACCAGCATCCAGAGGATGTATTAGGGACATGCAGAGTCATACAGAACACTTATTTAACCATCTGTTTTACCTTTGTGTGAACTAGGCACCTGGAACTGGCTGTTGTGCCAGGGCTGCTATGTAAGCCAACAATCTAACCAACACGAAGGCCTGACAAAGTCACTCTTCAGTGATACAACCTTTCTTTTAAGGCTTACATACTTGCACTTTCATCAGCAGATTTTCACAATCATTCTAATGGTTCCAAAACAACTTTCCAGATGATCTTAATGGCATTATGAGAAAGTATTTGATTATTTATTTCCTAATATGAACGTTGTTTGTTTTTTTTTTTTCCCAGCTGTTTCTAACAGAATGTAAGACTAACCTGATGTACAAACCTGGTGTGGGTTTTGAACTTTGGTTTCAGTGTTGAACACTGTATGAAGAATGCTCTGTGATGGACGCAGATGCAGAAAGTAAGTTTCTTGGTTTAGCATGAACTGTCAAAAAGGGCCTTCCTGATCCTCCTGGTTCAGTTTGCCATTGAACATCCTAGCTTTCTCATAACAGGGATTTGTGGAACTGGATTTGAAACTATATGGCACTGACCACTGGGCTGCTAACCTCAGCTGCTGCTTCCCACTGTCAGTGCTGCACAGAGAACCCGGATTGAGGCCTCTGTCTGATGCCAGCTCCTTATCTTGGGTGAAGGTTGGTCTTATACAACAAATCATGTTCATTCCCAAGAACAAAACATCTCTGTGCCCAAACCTTTGTCCACTGAATCCTCTGAAGACCAGCTTTTTGCAATCTTTTGTTCTGATGCAAACATTTACCTTGAAGTCTGTTAAAACCAAAGAATCGTTTGGGTAGGAAGGGACCTCAAGATCATTCAGTTCCAACTGCCTGCCACAGGCAGGGACACCTTCCACTAGACCAGGTTGCTCTAAGGCCTGTCCAACGTGGCCCTGAACACTGCCAAGGCTGGGGCAGCCACAGCTTCTCTGGGCAACCTGTGCCAGCGTCTCACCACTCCCACAGGGAAGAATTTCTTCTTTATATCTAATGTAACCCCTTTTCCCCTTTTATCTTAAAGCTGTTCCCCCTTGTCCTATCAAAATCGGTATGTGTACTTCACCTCCTTTTGAGTTCTGTTTGCCCAGGTCCCAGCTCTGCACATTCCAGAAAATGCCAGCAAGGGCATTCATGTTACCTGACTCCTCAGGTCATCTGAGGAATGTTTCAAGGCAACCTGCAGAGATTTGCCTCTTCTGACCACTCTAGTGCAATTCCTAATGTCCTGGCCATTTCAGGATGGTGCCCTTTAGAACAAAGGCTAAGCGTCAGTATTTTTCTGAAGTGACTGACAGCTTAGGTATGTTTGATTTTTTAATATATTTCCAAATAGGTATGCAAAATATCAGTAACCCTGCAGTGTCAGACTTCTTTGTCTTGCCCTGGCACCCCTACTTGTCACTCTGCCTTTTCAGGCCGTCTTTAGTACTTGGCTGAAGACTCCTGGCAGTAAGATGACAAGGACACGACACACACCAGGCAAACAGTAATTTCTCAACCAGGATTTATTATGGCAGGACATGATGTTTCTCACCCCGAATTAGCAGCACTGAACTCTCTGCTGGCCTAGCGCCAACATTCAGACTGGGCTCTTGAAGCGCCACTGGCCCCTCTTCCCTCCTCCCACCAGCCTAGCCGGCGCCACGTCTCCGTTACGCGTTCCTCCGAGGGGGGCACGACCCTTTTCCCACGCGCGCTGAGCCAGCCCCACCACCACAGGCCCGCCCGGCTGCCGTTTAAAGGCCCACCCCGTCAGGCGTCAGAGGCTGCGCCTGGGCCCAGTACACGGCGGTGCCCTTCCCCAAGGCCGCCACCGAACGTCCCAAGCGCGCCGTTACGTTACGGAGACCGCGCGGGGACAACGGCACTAACAGCCCCCGTCCGTCACGGGGCGCGTTCCCGCCTGGGCGCTCCCCTTCCACCAATCGGAGCCGCCATTGGGCCGTGGGGGGCGGTGCCTCCCCAGCGGCCGCTGCGGCTGCCCGCCTCGCCCCGCCCCGCCCCGCCCCGCCGGGGGACTGCGCCCCGTTCTCCCGGCCGGAAGGATGTGCTCCCGGAAGTTCCGGTGCTGCCGCTGTGTGGGATAAACAGTAATGGCCGAGGCGGTGGCTCTGGGAACAACGGCCGACGCTGCGGCGGCTGAGGCACCGGGGACACTCGCCGCTGCGGACGTGGGAGCGACGGCCGCGACCTTCGACTTCGCGGCCGTGCCGCCGCCCATCGTGGGGCTGGAAGGAGGCGGCTGGACCAAGCAGGTCACTTGCAGGTACGCGCTGCCCGCGGGGGGGGGCGGTCACGGCGCCCGTCCTTCCTTCCCTCACACCCCTCCCCCCCCCACCACGCGGTCGCCCTTCCACCCGCCGCGCGGTGGCCGTTACCCCAGGGCCGCTTCGCTCCCCTCCCCCAACGGTCACGTACGCGCCGCGCGTGGCCGCAGCGCCCCCTGCCCCGCCCCGCCGGGCCACCTCGGGGAGGCCCACGGCGAACTGCGCAGCCGGACGGGCCGCGCCGCGCCCTGCCCTGCGGCGGCT